ATATTACTCCATTGTTTCCTTTACCATTCCTCATCCATCAATGGATACTTAGTGTGATTCCATATCTTGACTCTTGTACATAGTGCTGCAGTAAACCCATGAGGGCAAAAGTCACTTGTACATAGAGTTTAGTTTCTGATTTAAGTTCCCAGTAGTGGGATTTCTCAATCATATGTTAGTTCTATGTCTGGTGTTTTGAGAAAACTCTATGTTATTTTCCATAATGGGCTGTATTGATTTTCATTCCCACCAACAGTGTACAAGAAATCCTCTTAATTCCCACATTCATTAACAATTGCTACTTCTCTTCTTTTAGGTAATTGACACTCCAAATGGGTTGAGATACTATATCACTGTGGTTTTCATTTGCATTTCTTGATAATGTTATTGAACTATTTATATCATTTGCTCAGAGTGAATGGAATTATTTTTTGGGTTTTGCTGAGTTGTTCGAGTCCCTACACATTGTGGATATTAATCCCATGTTGCAGGGATAGTTTGTCCCTATTTTCCTTCCTTTTGGTATGTTGTCTCTTTGCTGTGTTGGTCATTTCCTTTGCTGTACAAATGATGTTTTAGTTTATGTCATCTCATGTGTCAATTTTTTTCCTTGTTTTGCCTGTGCTTTGGAGATCATACCCAAAAAACATTCACCCAAATCAATGTCCTGATCATGTCTTTATGTTTTCTTACATTACTTTAATAATGAGGGGTCTTTAGTTTAAGATATTAATGAGTTTTCACTTGATGTTGATATATGGTGAATGATCAGAATTTGTTGTTTGTTTGTTTTTTAATTTGTTTCTGCATATGGATATCTGGTGACCTCAGCACCGTGTATTAAGGAGGATTTACTTTCTCTAATGTAAGTTCTTTTTCTTTTTCTTTTTCTGTTTTGTTTTTGTTGTTGCAAAAAGTCAGTCAGCTGTAAATACTTGGACTTATGTTTGTGTTCTCTGTGGTGCTCTTTATGTGTATATTCTCATTCCAGTAGTATTCTGTACGTTTCTGGTACAATTTGGCCATGGAGCCATGTATCTGATCCTGAGCTTTACTTTGCTGAGAAGTTTGTATTACTGAAACAATCTTGGTAATTACAATTGCTCTCTCAGGTTTTCTACATATACATGGTTCAGTTTGCATAGTTGTATGTGTCCAGAAATTTATCCATTTGTTATGGGTTTCCTAATTTGTCGGTGCATAAACAGGTGTTCATCACATTTCTGAATGATCCCATATTTTTTATGTAGAATAAATAATTTTTCAGAGTTCAATATTAAGAAATAATAAACATTTGAGGAGACAGATATATTTAACCTGGTATTTAAACATTACACAATATATACATGGTACCCTCATTTATCTACATTTTTTTTTCATTATTATGTATAAGTTAAAGTAAATTAATTTGAATCAAATAACTATGATGTGGAATGGAGGAGGGTTGATATTTTTGTTTTGTTTTGTTTTGAATAAAGGACATATAGCTTCGTGGCCTTCAACAGATAATAAATGCAAAGAGGGTGAGATGCCTCACATTTATTCTCTCTCCCCAGCCCTTGGTAGAAACACCCAAGTCTAAAGATATTTTTCTGATTACATGCTTTTTCTAGTATCAAATGGAGAGGAAAATAGGTTATTTGTCTTTCCCTGAGTTCAATGCACAATATAATTCTGAAAATTTATTTGTATTTTCAAGACTGAAGATGGAGAATCAGGCTTCTGGTTCCCCATGGAGCACTGATCTTTCCCAGAAGAATCTGATTGCAGTGGGACATTTGTCAGTGTCTGGAGAGAGTTTGGTTCCCACAACAGGGAGTAAGGGTTACTGATGCCTTGGTGCAATGCTGCTCAGATCCTTAGTATGCATTTCTATTCCCTCCCTCTACACTACCTAACTCAGCACACAATGCATTATCTGAATTGATTTCAAGGTCACTATCCAAAAAGTGAATAATATAAAGGTTCAAATTTAAAATTTCTCCTTGTATTTAATTTTTTATTCTCATAATATATTTGTATGCATTTATGAAATGCAATGTGAGACATTTATTCATGTGCATATTGCATGAAGATTGACCCAATCTAATTTTCATCTCCATCATCTTTTATCATTTCTTTATAGAGAGTGCATTTGAAAACATTCTTTTCTAACTATTTGGAGATATACAGTATTTAGGTTTAATTATAGTCACTCTTCTGTGCCATAGAGCGCTGAAACTTCTTCCTCCTTCAAAGATTAAAGCTCCTCTTTCCCTGAACTCCCCAGCCAATGGTAACTGCTATTCTATTCTTTGTGTGTGTGTGTGTGTGTGTGTGTGTGTGTGTGTGTGTGTGTTAAACTCAGGGGCACTCAACCACTGAGCCATATCCCCAGAATTATTTTGTATTTTATTTAGAGATATGATCTCTCTGAGTTGCTTAGCACCTTATTTTTGCTTAGGCTGGCCTTGAACTTGTGATTCTCCTGCCTCAGCCTCCCAAACTGCTGGGATTACAGGCATGCACCACCGCATCCCGCTGCTATTCTTTTCTTAACTGGCATGAAATCAACTGCTTAATATTCTACACATGAATGAGATTATGAAGATTTTGTTTCACTGTGCCTCCCATATTTCACTTAACAAAAGTCCTGCAGGTCTATCTCTGTGGCAAAAGACAGTGTTACATGAATTACAGTTAAGCCTTATAATGTTATACCTTATTATTAAAACATTGAATTGGCGAAGTTTTATTAAAACAGATGAATGGATCAAGAAAATGTGGTATGTATACACAATAAAGTTCTACTTAGCCATAAAGAAAGTGAAATCACATCATTTGCTGACAAAGGGATAGAACTGGAGCATTATGATCAGTTGAATAATTTAGACTCAGAAATGAAAGCTCAAGTGGATTCTTTCCTATGTTGAAGCTAGAGACAAAAAGGGTTTTAAAAATTGGAGAATTCATGAAAATAGAAGGAGAACAGTAGAGCAGAGAACGTTTAGGGAGGAGGATTGGAGGTAGGTAGGTACTTGGGAACTCAATCAACAAAACTCTGCTGTTTGCATATGTGATTATATTATAGTAAATCCCATTTTTATATATAAATACAAGGCAACAATTAAAAAATAAGCTGGGTTATTATGTATGTGAAAATTCGCTAAAAGTAATAAAAAATAAATGATCAAATAAAGTGAAATATCATATTTTTAATAGGAAAGCCATTATGCTTGAAAAATCTTTGTGGCAGCTTTCCCAGATTTGAGAAAGCGAGTGACTATAAAGATTGCATTCCAAGGCCATATAAAACCACTGGGTAGAAATAGCAAACATCTATTGGATGTGTCAACTGGATAATTTAATGCAGATCTGATCTGGACATGGCAGCTGTTGGCTTGGTTTGTTTATTGATATATAACATTCAATATTCAAAACATTCCTTATTACATTTAAAATGTGTATGCTCATAAGGTTATTATTATTTATTTCATGTATGTGGTATTGAGGTTTGAAACCAGAATCTGCACAAGCAGGGAAAATTCTCTAACACTGAGCTACGTTCCCAGCCATTTTAAAATATCATTTTGAAATGGGACCCTACTAATTTGCCAAGACTAGCCTAGAAATTCTGATCCTCTTGCTGCTATCTCCTAAGTAGCTGGGATTTCAATTCTATAGCATTGTGCCCAGGTCACAGGATTATTTGTTACCTTGTCTAATACTGTACATGGAACAAATATTTTTCATATTGATAAAGCATTTAAAATAATATCACAATAACAAATAACTCTATTAAACCCACATAAAAGTATCCCCAGGTTTTTTCTCCTTTAATATATGGAAATTTATTTTTTGCTTTTTATTGATGAATATTTGGAATTTTACTGGGACACATATAGTAAAGAGAAGGAAAAGGCAGAGCAAGTTATTCAAATAAAAGTAGTGATTAACACCAGAGTTTTCATATTTTAAGTAATTATATTAATTATGATGATGCATTTTTTAAAATTTTATTTTGAATAAGATTATATAGATAGTTAGCTTGGAACACTTAAAAGGAGATAAATGAAATTTTTGTTGAGAAGAATTCAGAGTTTATGTTCATGATTAGAACAAAAGTTTCTGTAAAATTGAGAATATGTGATATATTTCAAGACAGAATATCAGCTTGAAGTACATGTTTCAGAGGAACCCATCAACCTAGTCTCTTATAGCTTAATGTAAGAGATTTTCTAAGGTCCAGTCTATCACTCCTGAGCCTCTGGTGGGGTCTATCGTAGATTATCACACTACCATGAAGAGCTACTTTAGAAATATTTCAAGACACACAGCATCTTTTTTTTTCAAATTTCTATTCATACCAAGGAAATTGTTCACACTGCACAATGCACATAGACACATAGTTGCACATACACAAATACGTCATATTAGCTCAATAAAATATTTATTAGAAGTTTGACTTAACTCCTGTATTTAATGTATATACTGTCTGTTTTTGTCTTTAAACAAGTTCACACAATACATATTCTACAAAAAAAAAAATCTCTTTCATGTTCCTCGGTGCATTAAAACAATCATTTCTCTGAAATTCCCTATGATAGGGAATTCAATAAGTGGCCAATTCATAAATTTTCTGATTTATCAATTGACCACTTATTGAATAAGATAATTGAGAACTTAGATTTTGTCAGATATCTTATAAGAAAATGGATACAGTAGTGATATTTATTAAGCTACAAACAGTATTCATATGATATGTATGTTTTTTCTTTAATCTTCACAATATGATTATAAGTAATCTCATATTATTCGAATTTTGTAGGTAAAACAAGGAAAATGAGAAAGATTACTAATGTTTTCCAGCAAGAAAAAGAGCCAACTTTATTCTTTTGAAAGCAAAATCAATTTATATTATATTGTAAAATATTAATTATATTAATTTAATGTTTCCTTTAAAATCAAAGGTAAAGAACAAAATTTATATTTCAGGAACAAATTCCATGGTGATATGATGCTCAAAAAGAAGAGACTTTACTGCCCAATACTTTGCTGACGGTATCCTTGACATCCTTATTTCTCAGACTGTAGATGAGGGGGTTCAACATGGGGATCACCACTGTGTAAAACACAGAGGCCACTTTGACCGTGTGCCTGGAATTCTTGGAGTTGGGCACACAGTAGAGGAACAGGATGGTGCCATGGAAGATGGAGATGGCAGTCAGGTGAGAGGCACAGGTGGAGAAGGCCTTGTGCCGCCCACTGGCTGATCGCATCCTGAGGATGGTAACAACTATGAACATGTAAGATGTGAGGATGATGAACAGTGTGCTGACTTCATTAAATGTGGCAAAAATGAAGAGCAGCAAATAGTTGGTGTGGGGATCTGAGCATGAGAGGGAGAGCAGGGAGGAGAACTCACAGAAGAAGTGGTCAATGGTGTTGGAGCCATGGAAGGACAGCTGTAGAGCAGAGCACGTTAGTATCAGGGAACAGGCCACCCCCCATGCATAGGATCCAGCCACCAGCACAGCACAGAGTTTCTGGGACATGGCCACTGTGTAGAGCAGAGGGTTACAGATGGCCACAAAACGGTCATAGGCCATCACTGCTAGCAGAAAGGACTCAGTTACCACAAAGGTACAAAAGAAAAAAAATTGAACCACACATCCTGAAAAGGAGATGCTTCTGTCTTTTGCAGCTAGGTTCACCAGCATATTTGGAGCAACAGTGGAGGAATAGCAGAAATCCACAAAAGAGAGGTGGCTGAGGAAAAAGTACATGGGGGTGTGAAGTTTGGGATTAATTTTGATTATGGCAATCATCCCAACATTCCCTACCACTGTGACACTGTAGATAGCCAGGAAAACCAAGAAGAGGGGGACCTGCAGTTCTGGATAATCTGAGAAGCCCAAGAGGGTGAAGGTGGCCCCACTCTTATTTCTGTCTGTCAGAACCATGTTTCTTTTGTTTGGAATCAGAGTTAATCCTGAAAACAAAAAATATTAGGGAGAGTGAGGACAGATGCAGTGTGTTTTACTGCCCTTTTGAAGTTTATAAATTACCACTTTCAGAATCTGTGCATTTATTTATATGTGGTAGACAACATACCTACAATTTAAAAATACAAACCCCTTTTTAACATTAGAAACATACAATTATTGAATTAAATTATTAATTTACAAATATAATTTTTAATACAAAATGTGAAAAATTTAGATCAAAATATTAATGACTATTTAACAAGTCTTCACATAAGTCATTCAACTGTCATTGAAAATTATAAATTCATACAAGTTAAATCTAATTAACAAATGATAGCTGATGATCTCAGCCCTTTAACCATAAAAAATCAGAATTTTCCAAATAAATTAATTTTTGTAAATGTTCATTGACAGCCTTACATACAAATTCTTAACCTTGTGCATTTGTTTTTAATTTCACACATCACTTAAATCTTCCTCTCTGATCTAATATCCGTGATATCAACATAAATCTAAATCCCTTTTTTAGTAGGTGTGCTCTTTGACTTAAGGAGTTATTACCAATCTTTGCTCAATGACTGAAGAAAAGAAAAATGACTAGAACAGTTTATGGAAGTATTTTAGTTTATGTTCTTATTCTAGAGCCAAAGAAACCTTGAGTTGCCCAATGACATGCAGACTAAGAACCCTCTACACTTCTATGACTGAAGCCCAGATCCTCCGGCTTCTAGTGATGTATCCATTTCTCCACTATAGGTCTCTGGTCCTGATTCCTGATTTTGATATTAGCATGTATCTTGTATTAATAATCACGTTTTCAAATAGTGAGAAAACTGAAGATTTCAATTCTCTGGTAAATAATTCTGTAGCAAGCTATCCTATATGCCACAGAAATAAACTAGAAAGCAGTATCAAGATGAAACACATTAGAAGGGGAAATAGATACTTTTCTCAGCCAGGAATAACTATCATAAAACTCTGACATAGAAACATCCCTTTCCTGGAGATCATGCTCTGTGTCTCTATTTTTCTCTCTTTAAGATAACCATTATTTTAATTCTGTGCCTATGTTACCTGTGAAAGAGATCAAGTAACAATTTTAAGTATTACTGAACCATGAAGACATTTTTGGGAAGCCTGGGATGGATAATTAAAAAAACATAATTCTGTTATTGCTGGCCAAATCTTCTCATATCTATCCATGCCAGCTACCTTACTCTGTTATTTATAGAAAACTTATCTTTAGTCACACAATCTAAGAAATAGTTTTCATATAGCCCAACGATAAAGATGTATGATCATATGCAAGACTGAGACATTCAATGACCATATTTGTTCCTGTGCTCATGAAATTATTTATTAAAGACAACTTCAAAAACTCACCCATAAGCCAGACATTCTAATTATCACATATTTTTACCACATTTTATTTATCTAAAGAATTTTAAATTTTATATAAATCTATTCTTATATTTAATGCAATAACTCTATTATCACAAATGATCTTATTAAATCCCTGGTAAAAATATTTATATTAAATTTTAGTCCAGGAAATAATGATAGCTGACCTCTTCTTTCCACTATTTTTTTTACCAATTTTTGTTGTTACTTTTGCTATCAGTGGTTATATTCTTGTGACCTTAATCAAATGGGGTTCTTTATTTTTTAATAGTCTATTCAATGTCTATTTCATTTTACTTAAACATTCTATCTTGAGAACTCCTTCAAAAATTTGCAAAAACGAGAGTGCATAATACCAAATCTTTGAAGCAAGAGTACACTCACTGTTCCTGGATCATTTACATCTATTTCTCAAGAAATTTCTGGTTTTAAGAGGGTCAGTTTCCCATATTGAAATTTAAGTCTATCTATCTTTTGAATTTGAAAACAAACCTGCTGATGGCGAAGGCAGGAGCTCTCCTAGTTAGGGCAATGAGATTATTCTTATATCTATCATTAGTCTTGGAGATAAGAACCCTAGAGACTATCGATTGCTTCATTCTCTTGAGGTGGGATAAACAATTAAAATTAATCACCTCAACTTAAGGTAATTTTACCATCTGAGAAAATTTAGAGAAAATATATAGCAGCATCAGGAGCATTTCATATATAATATATATCAAATTCACCTTTCCCATACCTTGATCACTGTCAAATGCCCCATAAATTTCATAAATTTTATGTTCCACATATATTTCATAAATTTTATTTATAAATACATATATATTTATGAATCATCATTATCAAATTGATTTGCTAATATTTCCCAGGCATAATGCTTTTCTACCATATTAAAGAATTTGTTCATATTGGAAAAATGTGACTATCCAGCTGTTCAGGTTGTAATCAGAAGATTTACAAAGGTCAACATTCAAATAGTTAAATGATCAAGTCACTGTTAAGTCTTGACCCTATTTACTATTCCTTTCCTAGTTTACATGTCGGCCAGGTGGGGGGGGGTTCCCTGAGAAGGTCATGTGTAAGACAACATAAAACTTTTCAAAGGTGGAATGATTACATATTGAGAGGTGTGAAACAGATGTTGGATTAATCCACTGATATCAATTATCTGGGCAGTAAGTGTATACAGGATGTCTAGAGGAAGGTGTGAGATGTTCCCTGGGGGTTTATATATTGTCTTAAGTGAATAGAATTCTCTGCTTCCTTGGTGTCTTCTCCTGTGCTCCCTTCCCTCCATCATGCCCTATACCTTTATGTTCTGCCTTACCTCCAGCCCTCAGCTGCAGAGTGGGCCAACCATGGACCTAACTTCTGAAACCACGAACCTAATAAACTTTTCCTCTTATAAGTTGTCCTTGTCAGATCACAGTGAGTACAAACTAACTAATACACCAGCTGTGCATGCAGATACTCTGACTTCCTCATTGTTTCTTAAAAGAAGACCACACTCCTTAATTGTTGGCTTTTACATTCCCTCTGTAATTCTTTCCTTTAAATTTACGCTGTCTTTTTAGTGAAATCTTATATGAACACACTACTATACTGAAGGGATTACTCTATTCCCCAATATATATTCTTAAATTCTTTTGTAATGCATTTTAATATACAGTTTGTTTACCTTTGCTAAAATAAATTTTCTGGAAAGTGAGAAATTCACTTGAAGTTCACTGATATAAGTTGCTAAGCTAATAGCTAGCAACAATTGTATGATGAACAATTATTGAATAATAAATATGGCCTTCTATGCAACTGGAATGGAGCCAAACCTACCAGAACTGTGGGAAAGTTAGGGAACAGGGAGAAGAAATTCTGAATATTTTTACATTAAATGATAATTTAAAGTAAATATATACAATTATAATTTACCTTTGAAATAATATTTTTAAATGGGGAGTCAAAAAAGTCTTCCGTACCTATATTTATATCTCTATTCAAGTTTATTACAATAGAAACATTGTATCTTCAAAATAATATGTAAGATTTATGGTTTTTATTAAAGTTGAACCTGCAGTATAAAACAGGTACGTTTACTGAACTTAAGTTTCATGTGTAGAATTGAACCATCTTAACTTTAGGAACCATGTGGTCAGAATAGAGACATTTTTAAAACCCCCTAACAAGTATCCAATCACAACTGTAGCCCTTTTTCTTGCCTGCCCTAAGTTTAAGTTAGCTAATCCTGTAGATTCTATCCTGGAACTCTTCCTGTGTTGAACCAGGAGTGATGGATAGTACCTCTTTAGGGATTAATATCGATGTGGCTAAGTGGTTAAGTGCCTCTGGGTTAAATACCTGGTATCAAAAAAGTAAAAAAGAAAGAAAATGAAAAAGAAAAAAGGACTGAATCAATGAAAAAGTTTATGAAAAAGTGTAATCATTCATAATAATAAACCTTTGATTTAAACACTCATGTCAAGCGGCTGGGTTGTAAGTTGGGGGTGAGTATGTGCAAGGACAGGATTTCATACTCCACACCAAAACTAAATCAAATGAACAAAAATTACTCATGTCAAAATTGAACATAACAATAATAAAAATGTATTCTCAATAATACTCAAAACTCAACCCATTATTTAAATTCTTCCATTTGTCCCAAATATGTATTTTTCCATTGAGGTTAAATCAAGTTAAATTTGATTGTTACCATTATGTTTCCTTTATCATATCACCAATCTGTGTGCAAGGGAAAGAATGTGTGTGTGTGTGTGTGTGGAAGTTTGGGGGGGTGGAAATTGAACCATTTGTGGAACATTTTGTTTTCTGTATTTAACTGAATGCTTCATTTGATGTCAATTAGTTGTTCCTGCCGCAATTCTTTTAAAGGGATATTCAGATGAAATATCATTACTGGTTCAGATTCACTCTTAGTTTCTTTTCAGCAAGAACTCTGGCAGTGGGTTCTGAGCACTTCCAGGTACAGCCCACTGGGAACCACCTGTTAACTGGGTCTTTGGCTTGAAGCAATAATGCTCATCCATGTGTTTAGTTAGTGTCAAGTCAATTAATTCATTTTAAAATTACTCTCCAACAACATTTGCCTCATAATTTCAATACCAAGTGAAATTATCACCATAATCCTCCCCGCCCAAATTAACAGTTCTAGAATTGTGATTTTCTAATTTCATGTTTTTTTAACAACTTTCAAAGTAATGAATTGCTATCCCAGTAACTTTCATGGTAACCAAATTATTTATTTATTGTATTTTAAATATTGAGATTTAAAATTATTTGGTACCTTTAAATCAATTGTGGTCAATATAAGTTTGCATTAAGTATTTCTCACCATGAACCAGTAGAACTCATTTCAAATCATCTTCTATGTCTCTTTGAGATTATCTGAAGAGATTTTATAGCATTCTTACGTTCCAGACAAGTAAATCATCCAAGGTCCATTTCATATATTCTTTATCTAGACTTAAATTCTGTTATTTATCCAACAAGCTCTATTTCTGGACAGGACAAGTTTCTTTTTAGAGGAAAGTTGTAGAATAAGGATGTTGAGTGTTATTGGTTTGTAGTTTTTTAATTATCCT